ATCTAGGAATCAATTTTCTTTTTCTCATTAATGTTATAATGAAACAACATTGAATGTAATGGTGTTATGTAAGGACCTGTTGTATAATACTTTACTTTAGGGGACATTGGCCAAAACATGGTCACATGGCCACAACAAGCTACAAAAGAGACTGGGAAATGCAGCACTGTACCAAAAGACAACTTTTTATTACCCAGGATAAAAAGGAGAATATCATTAAGAAACAATGGCAGTCTCTATTAAAGTTAGAAAATTTTAACATTTATCTGTTTTTAAGAGGCTTAACGTGTAAGTTGGAGGTTAAAGTACCTCGGTTCTGTTTTTAAATTAAACATACACAATTCCGAGAGTTTTGAGAAAAGGGTTAGATAGGGATACTACATGAAAATGCACATTTGAAGTTAGTTTTGCTTGCATTTTTGCCTGGGATTTAAATAACTGAAGGAATTATGTTCAGAAAATATTAAACAGGGTCACCAGACAAAGTCAGAGTCTTCTCAGAAATATCACCAGAGGAGGAATAGATTTATCCTTCACATAAGAATTCACTTATAATAAGCTTAGCTCCCTTTTAATATGTAAATAATTCTTATTTTAGTCTGAGTCTACTTAAAGCCTGCTGTGTTATGGTATTGTGGACCTAAGTGCACATGTGTGGGACAAGACCATAGGCTGGGAATATCCACAAGACTGTGGAGTGCTTGTCTTGACAAGTGGGGAATGTTGATGGCAGTGAAGCCCTCCACACTGTCACCTTCCCTCGACCATTCTGGATGGCAATGTAAGGCACTGCACAGTCATCGTGCATAGGATGTGGGAGGACAGAGGTCTCCAAGCACAAGTATGCTGATTTCCAGAAACACTATGATGGTGGGAACATTAGAGAGAGGAAAGGAATTTTGAGGTTTAACAAAACAGAGAGAAGATCCTGTCATTCATAATGTTCTAAATATTTCGTTTAAAATTAAACATTAAGAGAATTCTTGTATATAATTGATCACAAAAATAATTTTAAGTCCCAGAAATCCTAAATTTTCAACAGCTAAATTTATTGGTTTTGAAGGCTTATTGTCTCATAATACCTTTTACTGCATGGTCCAGTTACTTGTTTATATAAATATCTCACTTGAGAAAAGGAAAGATCCAGGTTTTCCTGCCCTGTGAGCTGTTGTGGTACCTATTATGCCATATCAATAAGTAAGAACATGAGTACAGCATTTCTCTTTGTGGCTTCAAATCCAAATAAATTTGAATCTTAGAGAATAGATTATAGAAACTCTTTTTACTAATCCTATCCTAAAAGAAAAGTAGGAAGAATAATGCTTAGAAGCTCCCTGCTATGTATGCACAGGTAATCCCAAGGAAAAGTTCCTTGTTTAATGTACAACTCTCTCTTCATTTCTCTGTGTCTCCTTCCGGGAGTCTTTCTGAACATTGTGGGAACCTTGTGTGGTTGTCCCTGTGGTAGCTGTGCACCTGACCCAGCGTCCATCCTTATCCCCATCCATGCCCTTACTGAGGAGCCTAGGTCCATAGCATCAAGCCCTGGAGCGCCCAGGTGCCTAAAGTCTAGCTTTGTTGCTGTGCGCTAGCCCTGCCCATGGTAGCTTTCTGCAGCAATGGAATGTACATTTTCTGCCCATTCAGTTCAGGAGCCATGAGCCATGTGGGGCACCTCATCATTCAAGATGCAGCTGATGCGATTGGGAACAGGACTTTTAATTTAATTTTAACTAATTTAAGTATAAACGGCTACATATATCTAGTGGCTGCAGTATTGGACAGCCACTGCTCTAACCTAGTGTTAACATTCTGTCATCTGTGTATGGGTTCAGAAGGTTCCTCTGAACTAATGTGGGAATCTAATAAACTGATGCTTGGATTTGGGAATTGGCAGTATTCTCAGAGCTTCATGGGAATTGGTTTTTTATCAAATAAGTTTGAATGTGTTCAGGATGTGCCCTTTGATGGTTAATAATAAAGAATCATCTTATAATAAAGGACAGTAGTTATATTTTTATGGTATATAAGTTGCGTTTTATTATTTTATTCACATATAGGGCAGTTGTGTAGAGTTTGGGCTAAAAGAAATATTATTCCGCATGAGGCTGTGAACCACTGCAGATTAGAGTGCATATCATAAACCAGGGCCAGACGCAGCTCACAGAGAGAGGTGACCTCGTATTGAAAATGGGACGGCCTACATGTCCCTGCCTGGTTTCCTAAGAGAGGTTTTAAATATAGATACCTATAATAGGCTCTTCCTAAAAACTCTGAACATAATACCTTAGGTGTTTCTCAGTCCTCTATGATGAAGTCAAAGTAGATTGACTTCTTGATTAAAATGTATTAAAGGTGGTGGTGTTGAATTTTGGTGATAATCTTGTGTACTTTAGCCTCATATTTATTTTCTCAACTGCCAGGTATCTAAAAAGAGTTCTAACGTGTGGACATATGTTCATCATTACATGAAAGTATTTTTTTAACTGCATATATGCTACACATTGGCCTTAACCTTTTTTTTTTTTAATGGAGTTGTCTTCACCTTTGAAGTAAAATTAACACCAAGTAGTAGTCTTTATTTTAACAAAGAAATATGCCCTCTTTTATATTTCTTAAAATATATAGCCTTCTTGGTCCATATTTAATTTTCCCCTTGGTAACAGAAATTGTTTACTTTCCACCTGACTCTGAGAAAAATAAATGTGTAACCAGGCTGACAAATAGTGGTTGGCAGCCTCACAGTTGGCAAGAGGACATCCCCTGCCTGGTCTTTCCTTCAATCAAATACTGACATGGCCAGTCACCTTCTTGAAACACCCACTAGGAGGGCATGGACACCTCACTCAGCCTCATGTGTCTAAAACAGAACTGTTGTCCCGCACCCACCTTCCGTTTTTCAGTGCATGTCATCAGCATTCCCTCTGCCATCTTTGACCTCTCTCTCCCTCATACCTCATGTCTACTCACTCATCCATGGGGCTAAGCCACTGAACCTCCCCAGTTACCACTTCTGCTGCTTGCCAACAAACCTCAGCCCAAGTCATGCCTCCCTCAACAATAAGCAGAAGGGCATAGTGTATTTGGACCAGAAGCTCTCAGGACAAGGATTCTGAGGTATTTCCAGAGGAAATGAAACTGGTCCCCTTAGAGTTCTAGGAACTTTATAGACACATTCTTATTTGATCCTCAGCACCACTATATGCAGTAGGAATTGGCATCCACATTTTACAAGTAGATAACCTGAGATTCCCAGGTGTCAACAGCCAAATCCATCGTGAGGCAGAGCCAAAATTGAAGTCAAGAACTCTCTGTTAGGAAAATAAGTGCTTTTTATTATTGCCTGAAAAGGAAGCTAGGAAAGAAAATGTTCACAAATTATGCCTTAGAGATTCCAGAGTGCTTTCCTTTTATGTATTTATTTTGCTACTTCCCAGTAGTGTTTAGCATCAAAATCCTTAAAATGCAAAGACCCTGTGTTTTTAGGAGGCAAAATGAAAAGGAACTTGGGTGGATAGTTTTCCCTCCTCATATCTAATAAAGTAGGTAATGGCAGTGCTATAAAGGTAAGGAAGGGAAGTCACAAATAGACATGGTTAGAGAAGGTGTGGAAAACCAGAAGTTATATGAATTAACTGATAGGTAAAACCAGAAAACTGAATGTTATAGAAGCCAAGAAAGAGAATTATAGGATGTAGTAAACATAATAATAACAAAATAAAAAGGAATGAGAACTGAAACCAGTTTTGGATTTAGCAAGGAGTTCATTGATTTAGGCACTACCTTTTGTATAATCTGTAAGAATAGATTATAATATAGATGACAAAATAAGGGATTAGGTTTGGATAGATAAGATCAACCATACAAACTAACATTTCTGTTTTTGTTCATAATGCCAGCTAACTTATAATTATGAAGTCATCATGTTCTTTGATACTTTATATTCAGTTTATTGTTTTCTTTTGTTGATCCTGAAAAGATACCTGTATTTCCCTTGATCCTTTTATAATTTGTGTCTCCTGACATTCCTTAATGTCTTTAGAGGCATTACTGCATTTTACTAGTGCACAAGTGCCATCTAGTGGCCAAAACACCTGGGTAACTTACTACCCAAATTGCATGGAAAAGAATCAGCTATTCCTTCTGATGTGTTTTCTTGACCAGGGTGCTTTGAGGTTCCTTTTTATTTTCTTTTTTATTTTTTCCTTTTCTTTTTTAACCCTTTCCAAATCATGAGGTTCTTGATAATAATAATCAATTTAATTTTGTAGCCTGACGTAAAGTTGCTGGGATTTCCAACTCTTAGTATAAATACAAATGATTTATTTTAAAAAAAACTCTCAAGGTATATCATGAAACTGTTCCTAATCAAACCAGCTGTTTTCTTTACAAATATAGTATTACCCAGTTGGAATTATAATTGATGTTTATGAGGACAACGTTTAAGCAGTATCTGAGAAAGAACAGTTTTCTTTCTTTTGACTTTTTCTTTCTGTGTTTTTTTGGTTTGTTTTGTTTTGGGGAGGGCGGTTTAAGAGACAGGGTCTTTCTCTGTTGCCAGGCTAAAGTGCAGTGGCACAATCATTATTGTTCACTACACCTTTGAACTCCTAGACTCAAGCAATCCTCCCACATCAGCCTCTTGAGTAGCTGGGATTACAGGTGCAAGCCACCACACCTGGCAGAGAACATTTTTTTATATACATTGTAATTTACAAAGAGGCAATATTTTAGAAGAGTTTTCAACAATAAGGGTAAAAAAATCAAAAAGATTTCTACTTAAGCTAACCTTGTATTCATGTTTTCTGTACATACCTAGAAAATGATTTGTCCCACCCTTTCTGTGAATTTATTGGTATATTGCAGTGTTTATACTTGTTTCTGTCCAGAACAATATATGGAAGGATAAATAATTTACAGTGCTTTTCTGTTCTTGCAAATGTGTTGTATTAATTGATTTGGTGGTGTTATTTGTTAATACACTTCTTTTTATATTTCAGAAAAGATGTTGGTTTAAAGCGATTTTTTCCCAAGAGTTTACTGGATTCTGTCAAGGTAATTAGAGTCTCCTTTATCATACTCAAATAATGAAATTATACCAATACCTTTTCCCCAGGGGTAAATTGCTTTTGGGAAAATAAAATACAGTTTCTCCCCTACATGTAAAAGCTATGGTATAAAAAACTGACAATGTACTGTATTCATATTAATGGCAAGTAGATTCTTACAAGTACAACTTTCTCCCATAAAACCATGATTTCACTTCTTGATTGTGTGTGATGCTTAGCTAAGTACAAAACTAAAGTAGTTACATGCAAAGAAGTCCCTGTCGCCTAGGTCTTTACAGTCTCAGATATTTTGACATGAAGAAGAGGAGCAATGTGTAAAAGAATTGTGGTGGTAGAATCATGAATATTGTGTGTGTATGGGTATCAGTACATCCTGAAGGTGTGTCTTCTCCTATTTCAACCATGTGGATGTGCCTCTATGTTAGAAACTTTGGATAGAGCCTCAGTTCCTCTCCCTCCCCGTAGCTCCCACTCCAGTGGAGAGAGCTCCCAGTGAGGGTGGGGAGTAGACTCTGAAGTGTGGTTCCCCAGCCAGTCCAGAGCACAGGTCAAGTTGTTCACGTGCAGCAGGGGGACACAGACTTGGGGGTTAAGACAGAGTCTAGCTCAGATGAGCTCTGCCCGTTGCTAGCCTCATGTTCTTGTGCCTGGTTTCTTACTTCCACAATGGAGAAAATAATATTTTGTAGGGTTGATGTGAATATTTAACAGATTAAAATATATATTACTTATCACAATACCTGTCACATAGCAGTTCATAAATAGTGGATGTTACTGCTCTTTTTATTACTACAAGGGTCATGTTCTACATTCCATCAGCTGAAGCCCAGGCAGGATAAGACATTATGTTATGAGAGAATGTAGCATGGTGGTTCACAAAACTGACTCTAAAACCAAACTGCCTTGTGAAAATTCACCAGCTTGAATTGCTTGTGACTTTAGAGAAATTATTTAGTCTGTATTTTAGTTCCCACATCTGTAAAATGTGGATAAAACCAGTTTCTATTACATGGGGTTTGTATAAGGATTAAACGGGCTAATATGTATCAAATCCTATAACGACAGAACAGTTGCTCAGGAAAAAGGCAAAATTCTGCACGTTTATTGCATAGATCTGAGATACATTTCCATATGCCATAGTCCTGTAGAATGGCTGGATCAGTTAACATTTGCTTTCCCTTAAACAGGCTATGTCAATACATTTGTTTTTCCAAAAGCCATTTTGTTTTTACCTGCCTTTTTTCCTTTATATTTACATTTCTAGGGGATTGTTTTTAGTTAACATTCACATTGAGCTGTTGAACAATTACCTTATTATATATGGTAGAACTTTAATAGCTGTGTTTAATGCCAAAAACAGAATCTGGGGTGTATGTGCCTTAATTACTAAGAAAAATTTGTAAGATATTTTAAATCTCTGCCCCTTTGATGTTAGTGCTGTCAAAGACACATTTTTTAAAATCACTATACCAGTAAGACTAGTACGTCAAATCCAAATTGAGGGAGAGTCTATAAAATTCTGATCATTGCTGTTCAAAACTATCAAGGTCATGAAATAGAAGAAAAGACCAAAAAGGAAGAGGCTGAAGAGAAAAAAATGAGTAAATGTAGTGTGAAATCTGGAATGGTGAGAGGACATTAGTGGACAAACTAGTGAAATTGAGTTTAAGACTGTAGTTCATTGGATAGTATTGTACCACTGGGTACCAAAGAAGCTTCCTCTACTGGCTTTGCAGCTCTACCAGAAACCTAAAATTAGGTGGCAAGTCAAAATGGCCAAATTGTAATTTATTGCAATATAATTCGCAGTAGAATCCTAATTTCAGAACTAGATATGTTAAGAGATCAATAAAGAAGTATTCCTAGAATACTATCAGGAACACTTTTATTCTTAGAGAAAATAGTCATTTCATTTCTGTGATCAGAAGGTGAACATTTCAGGCTTAATATTTTTGTTGAGCATGGAAGTGCAGACATTGGTGCATTCAGCAGTGAATTCCTGGCATCTATGCTGGACCAGGCCATGAATTGGGGATGCCTGAGGGAATGAAGCTTCTGCTGGCAGAGCTTATCTTCTGGCAGAGGCCTTGTGGACAAAAGGAAGGAACAGTGCTCTTTGCATGCACCATTAATATGTCTGTATTTAGTATTTGATGGGTGGGTTGATAAGTGATTCCTTAATAATAATATATTCTGCTATTCTTTTATTGCAAATTTTCTTTACCATTGCATTATAACCTTATCATCTGGGAAGCCGTAGGAATCCATTTTTGCTAGCAGCATCTGATAATCATTCAGTTGACTAATATGAAATTATTTTTGTAGTTCCATGTGGCTGAATAGCAGCAATTTCTGATGGTTCAACCAAATAGTACTCCTTCATTTTGAAGAAGTATCACGTTCTTGGTAATTTTCTCTTTACATGTGAATTGGTTTAAAATAGAATAGTGTGCATAGATAGATGCCTAGTTTCCTAAATCTAGGCAAACACAAAGCAGGTGTTAAAACTTGAAATGTAATATAAAACCATCTTGTTTGCTCCTGCTAGTTTAGGAAGTACATTGATTAATACCAAGATATTCTAGGAAGTTAGATTTTGTGGAATTTTTTCCTCAATAATTAGGAAAGAAATAATGCTTTGTCAGATATTCTTCTTATAAAAGCTAATTTTGGAGCTGCTTTTGGACAACAGATTTTCTAGTTCTTATCCCACATTTAACATAGGTTTGGAACTCACAGCCTTCTCTGGTGGTCACATTTAAGCACAGACCATAGGAAAGGTTGGGTACACTCAGGGCAAATCACCCCATTTTAGTTGGTGGGGAGCAAGAGAGTTGTTTCTGTGTCTGTAGAAAACTAACTCTGAGTGATATCATTTCCCCCTACTCCAGCTACTTGAGCTTACTGGTTTGTTGTTTATCATTGTGACTTCCTGGTTCTTAACTTGGTGATACATACAAGCAGAATCATCCAGGTAAAGGAGCCTGCAGAAAACTGAACACATTTCCCCCATGTTCAAGTGAATGAGACAAATACAATAAATTTAGAGCTTGTTTTCAAGCACATGTGCCCAGCACATGTGCCCAGAAATTTTCCAGCACTTTAATCAGAGTGAGCAGTTTCGTTCTTTATTATTCCATTTCTAAGAGGGTTTTGGATGCGGAAAAAAAGGGCTCACTTTATTTAGCTCAGGGCTGATAGCTACAATCCCTATTATAGGAAAACAGCACACAACTCATTTTATATTTCTCAGCCATCAGGAAACACTTGTGCAAAGAGACATTAATAAAGGCTTGAATTTAAAAGGAGACAGAGGGTAGAGATTTGTTGGGTCACATTTGAAGGACGTTAAGGATATAAGGCCTTACAGGACTTAACCTATTAATCTGAGGGAGGAGGGAGAAGAAAGTGCAGGGCCTGGTCTCACCACAGCCTCTTACACTTAGGTGGTCACTAGTGCTAGTAACCAAAGACACAGTATTGAAGCAGAATTGAGTCAGACTGACAGCAATCCATTCAGCTATGTAAATTCTGAGCTTAAGGTGCTGTGAGACTGTGGAGGTCAAGAGGAAGGGGAAGGGGAAGGAGTAGGTTCAGAGTCATAGAGTGGCAGTGTCAGGTATAAGGTCAGACAGGGTAAGTAACCAGCACAGCTGGAATATTGGTGGCATGTTAGGTTTTATATGTCTGTAGGGAATCCAAGTGGAACTGTCAGGCAGGTAGATATATATGTGTTTGAAGCTCAAGGGGGGGATTCTAGTTATTTGACTTCCATTTCTACTACTTCGATGGAGTATTTTATATTTTAGGTAACGAATGAATGTGTGTAACTTTGTAGTAGTATTGCTTGTTTGTAAACAAGCAGCTGGTTGGGAATTAGGTACAAAGCAGAGAATTAACTTAATTTCTGGACCTCTTTTATATAGTTTTTATTCTTTCCATGTCAGTACTTCTCTGAGATAAAATATTCCTTTTAGAGTCATAAATGAATATATCAACTTTTTATTAATGTTAATAAAAATAATTTGCCATTGTGTTCTAGTCTGTGTGCTTATTTGACAACCATTCTTTGCAACTGGTACCATATTCTAATTTGTTGTAGCATCACACTTCAAGAGTTTTAAGGTGTTCCAGGGCTTTTGCTCAGCCTATTTTCTACTTGCTGATGGAAGATACTTCTTACAATCAGAACATTGATTGGCATGTTGAGGCAGCATGTTCTAATGACAGAATGTTTAAGGTCTGAACTATCTTCCCTCTTACATGCTAGAAAGTGAAGTATTGTTTAATTGCAGGATAGAACCAGATTTTATTTGTTCATCTGTCTATTTGGGAGGGTGCTGGAATCCAAGTTGTTGTGGTAGAGTTATGCAGTTATTCACTTTTAAACACATAATGAGTTTCAGCTATGGGCTACACTCTTACCATTAAAGAGAGAACCCTGGCTTTCTTCTCACCCACAAGGATTTTCCATAAGTTCCATGTTTAAAAATACATTCTAGATGAGCTGAAACCCATAGAATGTGGTAGTTGTTTCTTCCTGGTGCTGCCTGAAAGAACATGTTAGAGGAGGAGGTGCTTGAAATGATCACACAGCTAGCAAAAAGAACTTAAGCAGTTCTACCTTGAGAATCCCAGCTCATCTACCCCCACATTGTTACCTAATCTTTCGGAGTCTCTGTTTGCTCACTAATATAATATATGAAAAATAGTACCTACTTTGCAGGAGATGTTGTGAAGTTTATTTTGAGGGAAAGGTTTACAGATGTCTTTCCTAACATCATTTTTTGATGTGTGTGTTTTAATCAATGCCCAACAGCACTATGTCCACAGAATTACATTATTCTTCCTATAGCCATGAATGAAGCTCAGAAAGCTTTCTCCAGCACTCCTCTGAGTTTCTGGAGAATAAGGAAGCTGTTCTGATTCTTCAGTGTATTCCAAGTGCAAAACACAGAATAGAATTTCCTTAGTGGATTTGTTCAGAGTCCAAAGTGTAGCAGACTTACATCTTAGGAACTGGTTTACATTCAACGAACTACCGGTATGGTGTATTGTTAATTTGTGAGAAAAACATCTGTGGGCAGCTGCAGACATACTCAAATCTCCATGTCCAGTTTATACACTCCTGGTAGATAGACCTGCATAGGTGACCATAGTTAGAGAATGTGTGGAAAACCTGAAGTCAGAACAACTGTTAAATACTGTCAAGCTTAGCCCTGTGCTGAAAGTGGCCTTTTTCAGTCCCTTGGCTCGTGACCAATTCTTGCATGGCCATTCTCCAAAATATGCTTCCCACACTTTTCTTTATAGAGCATCCAAATTTGACCAACTCATTATGTGCTAACCTTGAACCCATTTTATTTCTCTTCTGTTTAGATTCTGTGATCTAAAGCTATAATTAATCTTTTTCAAAACATCTACAGTTCTCTTTTTCCACTTTCCATCATACTTACTTGTCAAAACAGCAGCCTGGTTAAAACTGACTGTTGGCTAGCCTGCCTGGCCTTAGCCCTCTCCATTTTATTTGCAGGTGCCATCTGATTCCACATATATAAATACCTTAGCTGGTGACTATGAAATTTCTATCACCAGCCCTGCCTGCACCTGAACTCCAAACTTATATCCACATGTCTACTTGATGGTTCAAGTCAGAAGACTTCGGGATCACCAACATGTCAAGAATTAACATGACTTCATTTTCCTCACTAAGCCACCCCCTTGTGTTAGCCCATTTTTTTTCTAGTCATCTTGGATTCTTCGCTTTGCTAGTATCCCACATACAATCCTCCAGATGTTCCAAAGGTTCCTGTTGCTCTCCTTCACCACCACTTTGGGGTCCTCATCACTAGTGTTTGTTGCTGGGCCTGTTTCGGTGACCTGACTGGTCTTTTTACTTTCTCTCTTACACACTCTCCCAATCCTCTGTATGCAAGAGCAGAGTGAGCTTTGTAAAATAAAAATCACATGCCTTGGGTAATCCTGAAACGTTCTGATTTGATTTTTTGGCTTGTTGAACTCTTGTCTGCCAGGAAATCTTGTCTTCTGCCTCTGGCCTTTTACATTTCCAGTCACTGCAGCCTCTCACTGATTGTGTGTATCCCACTATCCTGTCTTTCCAGCTCATTCTTTGTGGTGTCCCAGATCTAATAATACTTATACCCCACTGGACCTTCAGGATACTCTAGACAGGCTGTCACCTCCATAACCCCACCCAAAGTATGCCATGCCCTCCTGGGTCACCTTGTACCTGCCTCTGCAGCCACACGTCAGCCTGGGCCCCTGGCTGCTCTCCATCACCATATCTCCTGGTCCTTCAGTTGCCTAGCTTTGATTCCTCTGTGTGCTGAGCCAGTCAGGACCTCTCCTTGAACTCTACTGGCCCTTTACATCCAGCAGCCTGCCTGACACCTCTGCTTGGATTCTCATATTCTCCTGGTATTTCTCTGACCTTCACCCATCAACCTGTTCTTCTCACAGTTTTTGCCATTTCAGTTCAATGGTAACTCTTAGCAGTCAAGCAGCATATCTTGTTGGTTCTCTTTTCAGAATAAATCTAGAATCTAACCACTTCTCACCCCCTTTCTATTTCTGTACTTGTACAAACTATTCCCTCCTGCTGGATTATTTGGGTAGCCTCCTACCTGGTCTCTCCTGCTCCTGTCATACTGCTTACAACACAGCAGCCAGAGTGTCTCTGTTAAAACCTAAGTCACTCCTCTGCTCAAAGCCATCGAAAGACTTGGTTGGTATCTCCTTTGGGTCGATGCTGAGTACTTACCATGTCTGTGTTCTCTAGCTCTTCTTCCTCAGACAGACCTCATCACATAGCCGTGAATCACTAGCTTGCTCAGGCTGCTTCACACACTGAGTACTGGGGGCTTGCTGCTTGGAAAGCCCTTCCCTCCACTGCAGATATTCATATGTATAAATAGAAAACTCAATAAGTGAAAAAGGACCAAAAGACTATCATCTCACTACACAGAAAAAAAACCACTGTTGGTTTATCTCCTTCAGGGGAGCATTGCTATGTGCTTCCCAAGGCTCACATGTGTTTTCTCTGATTTTAAAGATATCTATACTGTATAAACTGATTGTTTTGTCATCTTTTTTCATGTTAAAAATATGATATGGATTTTAGTGTCAGTAAATTAGTTCTACAAAACAATTTTTAGGGCTGCATAGAATATTGGTTAGGTAGATAGATACATCATGATTTATGTAACCAGTCCATATATTAGTACAAACAATCCAACAGTGAGTCTCCTTGTTGCTGAATCTTTGCATGTGTCTTTAATGATTTCTAAAGAAGAATGTTAGGTAATTTTCTGGACCAAGGGTTGTGTATTTTTAAGGTTTTTGATTTGTGTTGCCATTCAGAAAAGTATATCAATTTTTCCCTTTTAACAGTGGAACATGTAAGTACCTTTACACCTTAACCCTGGTTATTTCTGGTTCATGTGCATAAGTGGTGAAAATTTCTGTTTAAGAAATAAAGCTCTATATGTGTACTGTACAGTTAAAAATGGTTACAATGGTAAATTATATGTTGTGTTTTTTACCATGATTATTTTTAAAAGCTATGATAAATTTATAGTTATTTGACAAGTGTGATATTTTGCTGGTATTAAGTGGTAGGCAGGAAAGAAATCTTACTGTTATTGCTATGGTCTTTATGCGTTGCTAATTCTAAAAAAAGATTTTTTTCTAATTTTATCATGCAGGCCAAAACACTAAGAAAACTGATCCAACAAACATTTAGACAGTTTGCCAATCTTAATAGAGAAGAAAGTATTCTGAAATTCTTTGAGATCCTCTCTCCAGTGTACAGATTTGATAAAGAATGTTTCAAGTGTGCTCTTGGTGTAAGTATGGGAACATGAGAAATGCTGGACTGGTTTGATTTCTTCTGCTTTTTCTTATCCATTACTGTATATCTAAATTTCCAATAGAAAGGAAGCTAATATGTCCCATTTTATAATAACAGAATATTACTTCATCATTTTTATAGTGGGAAAAATACAAAAAAAATTTATCAATGTGAGAATAAAATCATCTTTCTTAAAATATCTTACCTATGTTTACAATTTGGTTTTCTTATTCCAGCCCTGTGATTTATTGATTAACTCTTCTCTAAAAGGGCTAGTTTACCTATTCAAATAATCATCTAAAAGAAACTATTGGCTGTAGGCATGTTGGAATAAGCACAGTGCATCTCTGTCTAGGCTGAACAGATTCTGGGTCAATGAAGTGACAGATATTAATATTTTACGATATTTGGTTAGATAGATTGATAGCAAAGCAAGCCAGCCCCTCTTTGGTCCTTTAACACTGTGGTCCACACCCCTGGGGTGCAGACCAGTACCATTCTGTGGCCTGTTAGGATCTGGGCCGCACAGCAGGAGGTGAGCTGCAGGTAAGCAAAGGAAGCTTCAGCCATTTCCCATCGCTGGCATCACCCACCACCTGAGTGCCACCTTCCTTGCCTCCCCTCTGTCCTGTGAAAAAATTGTCTTCCATTAAACTTAGGAACTGGGCTGCACAGCAGGAAACTGGTCCCTGGTGCCAAAAAGGTCGGAGACTACTGCTTTAATATATCTGTGGCTCTTTATCTAAAATATTTCTTTTTCTCCTTCTGGCATCTCCGTCCTCACCTGTTTCAACAATCTTCAAAAGTCAAGCTGGATTATTTCAGTGGAGCTGGCAATTGGCCCAGAAGAAGGAATCAGTTACTTAACAGACAAGGGCTGCAATGTAAGTCTGCTTCTGTGAAGTCTCAGGAACTTGACTTTAGACAAGAGGAATGAAATTAAGGAAATGGGATATTCTTCTGGAAAAGACATTATTCTGCAATTAAATCTTCCCATTGCATGGCATTTGTTGCTCAAGGAGGGGGCAAGTAAGAGAAAGTCTAGGCCTCTGTTGGAATTTTCAGAATTCTTTAGTTTTGGAGGGAAAGGAATCATGTAAGTCCTATGTATGTTAGTGAGACCAGGATGGGGTTGTTCCAGTTTATGTGGAGATTTTTTTTCCTTATTATGGGGGTACAAATATTGTTAGGGTTACATATATTGCCCCTGCCATTCCTTCCCCCCGCACCCCCCCCACCTTACCAAAACATCAAGTGTGTCCTACCCTCAGGTGGTGCGCATCCCACCTATTTTGTAAGTGTAAATTCTTCCCCTTCTCCCCCCTCCCATTTGCCCACCACCCGATGAAAGTTTGTTTGTTTGTTTGTTTGTTTTTCCCTTTTTTTTGACCTTTGGGTTACATCGTATATCTTAGCCTTCCCCTTGGAAGGGTTAGATGTATTCCCTCCCCCCTCCACTATGCTCACCACAACCCTAAGATGTGTATCTCCCCCTCCCCCAAACCCTAGTGGGCACTATCCCCATTTGAGCATCATAGTTTTAATCAGTCAGTACCAATTTGATGGCGAGTAGATGTGGAGCCCATTTTCTTGATCTTGTGTCACCTCACTTTGGATAACGGGTTTAAGCTTAATGCAGGATAGCATAAATGGTGCTAGCTCACTGTCATTTCTTAGAATTGAATAGTATTCCATTGTGAGCTTATACCAAATTTTAGTTATCCACTCATGAATTGACGGACACTTGGGTTGTTTCCATGATCTTGCAATAGTGAATTGTGCTGCCATAAACATTCCGGTGCAGATGTCTTTATAATAGAATGTCTTATGCTCTTTTGGGTAGATGCCCAACAATGCTATTGCTAGGTCGAATGGTATTTCTATATCTAGCTGTTTGAGGTATTTCCATATTCTTTTCCACAGAGGTTGCACTAATTTGCAGTCCCACCAGCAGTGTAGGAGTGTTCCTGTCTCTCCACATCCTCGCCAGCATTTGTTGTTTTGGGATTTCTTGATACAAGCCATTCTCACTGGTGTTAGATGTTATCTCAGTGTGGTTTTGATTTGCATTTCTCTGATGATTAGAGAAGTTGAGCATTTTTTTATATGTTTGCAGGCCATTATTCTGCCTTCTTTGGAGAAATTTCTGTTCATTTCCATTGCCCATTTCTTGATGGGATTGTTTGATTTTTTTCTTGTTTATTCTTTTAAGTTCTAGATAGATTCTTGTTATTAGGCCTTTTATCAGAAGTGTAGAGAGCAAATATTTTCTCCCACTCCGTGGGTTGTCTATTTGCTCTAATGATGGTTTCCTTAGCTATGCAGAAACTTTTTAATTTGATGAGATCTCATTTGTTTATTTTTGATGTAGCGGTGATTGCCTTGGGGCTCTTCCTCAAAAATTCTTTGCCTAGACCAATGTCTGATAGGGTTTTCCCAACGTCGTCTTCTTGGATTCTTAAGGTTTCATGCCTTAGGTTTAAGTCTGTTATCCATCTTGAGTGAATTTTTGTAAGAGGTGAGAGATATGGATCTTGTTTCAATCTTCTGCATGTAGCTAACCAGTTTTCCCAGCACCATTTATTGAAGAGAGATTCTTTTCCCCATTGTATATTTTTGTCTTCTTTGTCAAATATTAGGTTGCCGTATACTGATGGTTTCATCTCTGGTATCCCAGATCTATTCCAGATATCGATGCTTCTGTTCTTGTGCCAGTACCAGGCTGATTTAAGTATTATTGCTTTATAGTAAAGTTTGAAGTCAGGAAGACTGATGCCACTCAGTTTGTTCTTCTTAAGATTGCTTTGGCTATATGAGGTTTTTTCTGGTTCCATACAAAGTGCAGAATTATTTTTTCTAGATCTGTAAAGAATGCTGGTGATATTTTGATGGGAATTGCATTAATTCTGTTAGATAACTTTAGGTAATATTGACATTTTAACAATATTGATTCTACCAATCTATGAACAAGGTAGATTTTTCCAACTGTTCAAATCATCTGCAATTTCTTTTTTTAGTGTTTCATAGTACTCCTTGTATAAATCTTTCGTATCTTTTGTTAAGTATACTCCTAGATATTTAATTTTCTTTGGGGCTATAGTAAAGGGTATTGCATTTTTGATTTGAGTTTCTGTTTGATGGTTCTTGGCATATATGAATGCTTCTGATTTGTGTATATTGATGTTATAGCCTGAAGCTTTACCAAATTTATTTATTAAGTCTAGGAGTCTCTTGGATGACTTCTTGGGGCTTTCTAGGTATAATATCATATCATCAGCAAAGAGCGAAAGTTTGATCTCATCTTCCCCCAGGCAGACCCTGTTTCTTTACACACACACACATATACACACAGAGCATATCTGTGTCGCATACTGGTAAGTATTAAGATGAAAAGTAGAACTGCCTAAGGGAGGTTATATTGAGATGGGCACACTCCCCTTTATATGAGTGGTCAGAATGTAATCCTGAGGGACTTCTTCTCAGGCCTCTACCACCAATTGTTCTTTTCCAGTCACAGAGTTCTGTGATTTGAACTTTTCACTTAATTTATTCATACATTTTCCTATACGCATAATTTTAAATAGGGCATAAATGTGACCAAACCACATGACATCATACCTGCTTTTTTCCAAGAGCAGTCTCTGGTTTCCATTCCCATTCTGCTTGGCTCCTGCTTCCACCGGTCCTTTGTCTTCATATTTCTCTGTCCCCCCCATACTCACATGTAATTGACTCAGGAACTATTCTGCTGTTTCTCTCCGTGCTCTGTTTTGTTTTTCAGAATTGGGCACCTTGCCCTGCAACCTGGGTATTTTACTCTGAACCTGGTAGAAATTCCTTCAGTTCCACCCTGGCTCTTTCCCTTCTCTCTCTGGGGGCCAGATAGGGCCATGTAGAGGACATGTACTTTGCTTTCAGATTTCTACCCCTAGAGAGTGACATAATAAATATTGTTTTACATGTATCTATGTGCTTTTTCTACTTACAGAAGAGACTTCCAAATATCAAACTGCAGAATCCATTCACATAGTGATAATTTTAAAAGAAGGTGCCAGATTTCTTTTCAGAAAGGCTAAGAAGCTTCATATTTTATCAGCAGTGTATGAAAGTACTATTTTCCCACTCATTTGATAGCAGTAGTTTTAATAATTCTTTAATTTTTTCATTTTAATAGGTACAAAGTGATTCCCATTACTCTTTTTGTTCGATTTGATGTAAAGCAGGCATCTAGTGAATTTAAACATATTTTTACATCCTGTTTCTCTTCCCACCTGTGAATTATAATAACTGCTCATATCATATATTTTGCCTATTTAATCAGCACATCTGTCCTTATCAATTTGTAAATCTCTCTACACATCAAGGAAGTCAGTGTGTTTTCCTTAACCATTATTACAATTTTTTCCTAAATCACATGTTGGCTGTTGACTTGAGACAGACTAGTCTTACTAGTCCGGCATCCTGAGGATGGCCGATATCCTGACTTTTGTCATCATTGATTAAATTTTTAATAAATGGTGCTGGGTCAGCTGGATAGTCACAGAAGAAAACAAAATGAATTTTGAGCCTTATCACACACCATGACAAAAATCACTTCCAGGTGGAGTTATATCTACACATGAAAGGTAAAAATGATAAAAGTTCTCAAATGTAGGAGAATATTTTTATAACTTTGGAGTAGGCAGAGATTCTTTAAACAGGATGTAAAAAGTGCTAACTCTAAACGAAAATTTTGATAAATTGGACTACATTGAAATCAAAAACTTTTTTTTATCTTAAGATAATAGAAAGGGAAACCAAGTATTTGCAATAAATATTATGAAAATAGACTCTTAATGCAGAATAAAGGATAATAATAAATCATTAAGAAAAGGACAGACAACTCAATGGAGGATACCAAAATGGCCAATAAATAAATGGAAAGATGTTCAGCCTCATACTCAACAGGGGGATGCAGTGTGATACTGGTACATATACTAGAATGGCTAATAGGAAAAAGATGTGTGTAGTACCAAGCATTGGCAAGAAAGTAGAGCAGCTAGACCTTACATACTTTGATGGTGAGAGTATTGGTGCCAGCCTCTTCAAAAAACTGTGACATTATTCATCTTACCTTTTATTACTTGTGAATTTTTTAGTCCTAACCCTTAAATTATATTTGCAGTCTCATATATTTTCTTACAAGACTTTTCTTGCCTTTTACCTGTATGTCTTTAATCCATCTGGAATTTCACTTATGGCATAAGATGGAAATCTATCCACTTCTCAGGAGGGAAGAATAAAGGTGGGGTTTAGTGTGCTTAAGAGAGCAGGCTCTGGAGTACATGGCCAAGGTCACCACCATCTTGAGTCACTCACATGCTAGCTTTGTGACTTTGGGTCCATTCACAGACTATGCTTGTATTTCCATATATATATATATTTTTTTTTTAATTTATAAATTTTTTCTAGAAAAATTTAGCCAGGTATGGTGGCATGTACCTATAGTCCCAGCTACTTGGGAGGCAGAGGCAGGAGGATCGCTTAAGCCAAGGAGTTTGAGGTTGCAGTGAGCTATGATGACACCCCTGCAGTCTAGCCAGGGCAACACAGATAGACTCTTGTCTCAAAAAAAAAAAAATAATAATAAATAAAACTTAGATAGAATTGATCTATGTAATGACAAGGTGTCTTTTCTGTGGTAGGTGTTACTCTTGTTTTTAATGATCCTTTTAATCCCTTTAACAGTAATAGATCTATTCATTTTGCACGCTATTTGTGGCAGTTTGGGTAATTTATATGTTGTTAGCATATTATCTGCTTCTCTACGTTTTTGTATTGCTGCAGTAAAGTTGCATCTCATAGTTCTCTTAAAATCTTTTCAGTCACTTTGTCTTTATATCCTGTCTCATTCCTGAGCTTGACTAGTTTGGTTTGGAGCCTGCTTTCAGACTTGCAAAGGGATCTATCTATTCTACTTGTCTTTTAAAAGACAAGCTTAGGGATTTATTACAGCACTTCTATTAATTTTCATTAATTTCAGTATTTTTCAGTAATTCCCTTTTTGTAGTATCTTGATTATTTTTGGCTTTGTATTATACTAGTCCTTTTAATCATTTCTTTAAAATTTATCCTGTTTTAAATTTGGAGGCCATTTTCTTCTTGTACAGCTTATATCATATCATATCTTACCATTTACTTTTTATTGTATTTCTGTATACTTGTTTGAGATTTCATTTTTCTCTTTTTCATTATAGCATTATGTAAGAGAATGTTACTTAATTTTCAAGAGGCTCTAGGCTTTTTGTCTTTTTATTATTTTTAATAAGCATATCATAAGCCAATTTTATATTAGCTTATGAGCAGATAATATGATTTTGTAATGGTTAACTATTCAGATTTGTCAAGGTCTTCTTTGTGGCCAACTATGTGATTAATTATTATAAATGCTCCATGAAAAAAATGTTTATTTTCTACTCAAGGCTGTAAGGATCTCTGTAGATATGACATGAGTTATTAGTTGTTTAGAGTAGAAGAAAAGCAGGATAGGAACAATCAGGATAGAGTCTCCAGAAGCTCCCATACATCTGCCATGCTCTTGGGTATATTTTTATATTCCTGAATAAGACCAGCCCTCTGCTCGTGCAGTGTCTCCCATCCCATCTTACCTGCTCATGGTAATTCTTTAATTCTCTCCTGTTTTTCCTGCATCAGCAAACATTGCTAACATACTGGATCATTCCTGTCAGCATAGAAAAATGTATAACTTCTCCCATCCTAAAAATACCCTCTCTTAATCCTATATCCTCATCCTTGTTCCTCCCTGGTACCTTATGTTTCCATCTTTCCTTTATTGCAGAACTTCTTGACAGATTATCTAATTGCTCTCCCTGCAATTCTTCCCATTCTCCCTTCAACCTACTCCAACCAAGTGTTTCCTGTCTACCACCAGTGTACCACCACCATCCAACCAATGCCTTGCTCAGGATAACAGGAGCTGTGGTATTCTAAGAGATACTTTGTGGTATTCTAAGAGAGCATCCTTAACCTTAGCTAATTGTTTTGTTTTGGTTTTTTTTACAGAAAACAAAGGTGATTCTTTTTTTATTAGAAAACAAAGGCCATATTTCAATACATCACCACCATAAGCTAATTGTTTTGAAGAAATATGTAGCAATCATCATGTGCAAAGTGATCATGGTCATGAAATGCTAGAAGCTTAGCATTAGATGAGATGTTAGATTAGATGAGATGTGTGGTATTTTTATTATTTTATTTTTTTTTGAGATGTGGTCTCTCTGTTTTGCCCAGGGTAGAGTACAATGGTATCATCATAGCTCACTGCAACCTCAAACTCCTGGGCTCCAGTGATCCTCCTGCCTCAGCCTCCCAGATAGCTGGGACTACAGGCACGTGCCGCAATGCCTAGCTAATTTTTCTTTTTTTTGTAGATATAAGGTCTTGCCATGTAGCTCAGGCTGGTCTTGAGCTCCTGGCCTCAAGTGATCTTTCTGCCTCGGCCTTCCAAAGTGTTGGGATTACAGGTGTGAGACACCATGCCTAGCCCAATTTTTTCTTTTTAAGAAGAAAAAGAAGTTTATTTTACTAGGAAAATGACCATAGCCTCTCTTGGCATGTCCTAAGAGGTCAGTCTGTATGGGAAGGATCCTTTGGATACTTACTGTCTCTCTAGCCCCAATGTACTATAGAACTTCAGTAAGTTTCACAAACTTACTCTAGCTTAGGATTTGTGGGTAGTGAGCCTGGATTTCTTTCTTTGTGGGAATAGAAGCAGAATGTTCACTCTGAGAATTTCATAATGTTCATCCCAGACTAACAAGTGAGTCAAGTCAGGGATTACTTCTACTTCCTTCCTTCCTCTATCTTCTGTTTTCTCTCTGATAACTACTTTTATTTATCCACCTCATTATGTGTGGATCTCACACGTATAAGTTGGATGAAAAGACAGGTCCCCAAATGTGAAGTGCAGGGGATAGCTACATGGCCACTTCATGGGATGCTACATGGAAGACCTCCAGTCTTAGGGAGGATGTCTACAAGGACTATGAGGGTTTCACAGAACAGTTAATAGAATAAGTGAAATGAGTCTTTTATCCATGGTCTAAAAATTTTTTACCTTTCCTATCCAAAGCCCACACATCTAGCTGACTTCAATCAAGTGCAGACCATTCAGTATTCAAACAGTGAAGACAAGGACAGAAAAGGAATGCTGCAACTGAAAATAGCAGGTGCACCTGAGGTAAGGAAGTCTTACACTCATCATTAAGGGAAAACTGAAACAGTGGTATTTTAAAAGTAATGATTTTTTTTTTTAGAATAAGAATGAAGTTTTCATGGATCATTGGAATCACAACTTTCTCATATATACTAAGGGTTACATTACCAATAACAATCATTAAATGTCTATAGCAATAAGAGATGTTAAAACTCATTTAAGAGTTTTAAGATAATAAAACTTAATCACTTGTGAAAGTGATTAAGATTATCCTGAAATACCAGGGAATTCAGTTTCTTGGGATTATACTTACAGTAATGTGTCACTTAACAGGGAGATGTTCAGAGAAATGCATAGTTTGGCAATTTCTTCATTGTGGTAACACACAGAGTGCACTTATGCAAACCTAGGTGGTACTGCCTACTACACACGTAGGCTATACAGTATAGCCTGTTGCTCCTAGGCTATAAACCTGTACTACATGTTACTACATGTACTAAATACTGTAGGCAATTGTAACACAATGGTATTTGTATATGTATATGGTATAAAGGATAAAATATTGGTACACTTACGTAGGGCACTTAGTATAAGTGGAGCTTATAGGACTTGAAGCTCCTCAGGAGAGGCAGTGAGTAAGGGGTGAGTAAACGTGAAGGCCTAGGACATTACTGTACACTACTGTAGACTCTAAACAGTGTACATTTAGGCTACACTAAATTTATTTTAAAAAATCTTTCTTCAGTAATAAATTAGCCTTAGTTTACTGTCACTTTTACTTTATGATTTTTTAATTTTTTTAACTTTTTGACTCGTTTGTAATAATACTTAGAACACAAATACATTGTACAGCTGTACAAAAGTATTTTCTTTTTATCCTTACTCTGTAAGCTTTTTTTTTTTTTTAAAGTTTTAGGCTGAGCACAATGGCTAACACCTGTAATCCTAGCACTTTAGGAGGCTGGGCAAGAGGATTGCCTGAGGCCAGGAGTTGCAAGATCAGTCTGGGCAAGACCCCATCTCTACAAAAGTAATTTCTTAATTAGCCATGTGTAGTGGTACATGCCTGTAGTCCCAGCTACTCAGGAGGCTGAGATAGGAGTATCACTTGAGCCCAGGAGTTCAAGGTTGTAGTGAGCTATGATCATGCTACTGCACTCCAGCCTGGGGAACAGAGTGAGAGCCCATCTCTAAAAAAAATAAATAAATAAAAATTAAAAAATAAAGTTTTCTATTTATTTTTTACTTTTTAAACTTTTTTGGTAGAAACTAAGACACAAATACACACATTAACCTAGGTATAAAAAGGGCCAGACCGTCCCTATTGCCATCTTTCATCTCCACATCTTGTCCCTCTGGAAGGTCTTTGGGTCCAGTAACACGCATGGAGCTGTCATCACCTATGATAGTAATGCCTTCTTCTGGAATACCTCCTGAAGGACCTGCTTGAGGGTATTTTATAGTTAACTTTTTTTTAATAAGTAGAAGACTACACTCTAAATTAAGATAAAAAATATAGTAACTAATAACAATCGTTTATTGTTATCAAGTATTATGTACTGTATATAATTGTATGGGCTATACTTTTATACAATTGGCAGTATAGTAGGTTTGTTTTCACCAATATTACCACAACATTTGAGTGATTTGTCACACTACAACGTCAGGACAACTGTGATCTATCACTAGGCCACAGGAATTTTTAGCTCCATTGTAGTCTTATGGGACCACCATCTTAGGTAGTCCATCATTGACTGAAGTGTCATTATGCAGTGCATGACTGTATGTGTCCTGTGAGCTGTGTTATTTTCCAGATTGTGTTGTACATGACATTCTCTGGGTAATAATAATTATAACAGCAGCATTAACTGATACTTCCTTGTACATTCTACCCATTTTTATTTACACAAAAGCCAAGAGAAGCTGTGTTGTTCTCACAACCACGCAAAGTAGGTATTTTGATACACTTTGGTTAACCTCATTCTGTAATTGAGGAAACTAAAGTGTAAGATATTGGCCACAGTAATAGTAATCAATAGAGATGGGATTCATACCCAGACAGTCTGGATCCAAAACCTGTATTCTTAATCAATAGGCAACAGTGAGTAAAAATAAGAAGTGGCACAAGAAATGACCATTTGGCAAATATTACATAATGTGATCCTTTCTGAAAGACAAAGTACATTCATATATAAAAGAATCTTAATCCAGTAACGCATAGTTTTTCTTGCATATGAAGCACATTATTTAGAACTTTTCTGTTCAGCATATCAGGATTATTTGGTCTGTTACAGCCACTTCTGGATGGGTTTATTTGCAATACTCCTCACTTAGGCAGATGCTTCAGTGTTCTTTCTTGTGATTCTGTGAGTTTGGTGACATCTGAGGCTCTAGGAAGTCTGTTGACTCTTAGGATTAAACAAATATTACTATATAATGTTGAAAGCTTGAAAAGAGTGATTTCTAAGCCTTTGGGTTTAGAAATGCTGTGTGTGCTAAAAATAATGAAATTTTACTAATTTTCTGTAATGCAAGAAAAATTAGTATGAATAATTAATAAAAACTTCACATTAGTTTCTAAAACAAGTCATACTTAAACTTACTGATTATCTAAATTCTTCTCTTACTAGTAATTAGAATGTGCCAGTAGAGCCAAACATTCTAAAGGAAAATATTTTTTTCACCTCCTTTTGTTCTAGAAAGTGATTTTTCTATGTTCATCTGAGTTTGCCTTCTGTCACATATTCTAAAAATAATGTCCTTAAATATCAAACTTCCTTTTTCACTCAAATCTTGTGACAAATCTTGTTTCACTCCCACTCTTCTCTGTTTTCAAGTATACAGAGAGGTCTGATGTCATAGCGCAGCTGTCCCTTTGCTTACTGGGAAGAACAATAATGTCTCTTTCTTGGTCTTTTCCCGATTAGCCTCTGACAGTGACGGCACCATCCCTGACCATTGCGGAGAATATGGCTGACCTGATAGATGGGTACTGCCGCCTGGTGAACGGAGCCTCGCAGTCTTTTATCATCAGACCCCAGAAAGGTGAGGTTCTGTTTCTGTGTGGACATTCCCAGTTGCATTCCTACTGAATTGTTAGACAAGCTCACCCCTAACAGCCTGTTATCCTTTTTTTAGGTAGTTCTGTAAATGTGAAGATCAAATGAATAATTCAGCCTAGTATAATCTGAGTTCTTGTTTTTCTAAGGTTAGCAATCCAGTTCACACTTTCCATAGGCCAAGAGCCGTGTTTGAATAGAGCCTAAATAAAACTACTGTATTTACAATAACTGTGGTTTTACTTACCAACTGTATTACCATTAGTATTTTAAAGTAAACTTTAGAGATTATATTCTGGGTTTGGACAAAAAAGGGTCCCTTGTAACATTAAATAAAGTTTTCCTTCTATTTTTTCTTATATATCTCAAAAGCTTAGAGCATTCAAAGAACAAAATAAATTCTAAATCATGATGTAAAAGTCAAAGATTAGCAAAAAAAAATATGTAAACAATAAAGCTCAAAGTAAAAATAAGAGATTAGCATGAATAAATATCCTAGAAGCATAGCTGTATCACTTCAAAAATGCAGAGTTTTTGCAAGCGTATTTGAAGGGATGTTTTTGAGCATTTGGATTTCTGGAATAATTAAATGAAAATATTCCTAGCAGTATAATAGCATAGAGTGAAGCAGGAAAAGACTGGGCTTTGGAAATGCATCAGTTCATAAATTCAGATCACAAGTCCTCTGTGCTACCCATCTATAAACTAACTTTTCTGTGCCTCGGTTCTATCTATAAAACACAAAGAGCAGTACCTGTATTCTATGGTATTGGGAGGATAAAGGACTTTGTATATATAAAGGCTTGGTACTATACCTGCCACATTTGATGTTCGAAGATTTTAATTATATTATTGTTCCTCTTGCTGCTACTAGTGTAGTGTAATCTGGACACATTGTATTAACCTTGACTCTGTTGTTAGGCAGGTCCCAAACAGTAACCATAAAGCAGCTAGCACTGTGACAGGTGGGGTCTCTAAACCTGGGTTTTGTCATTGCCCACACCTTCCAGCACTCATGTCAGTGACTAAGATGATGGTAGAGGAAAGCATCCTGAAGCGCTGTGTGGTGTGTGTCCAAGTAAGCAGAATTGTGTTAAACAGAAGAGTAGGTAAAGAAAAGCCCAACGGAAGCAAATGGCAACTTGCTGACTCCGGGTATGGAAACCAGAGGGCCCAGCCTGCCCAGCAGCAAAGTGCTCTGTTTACAGAGCAGTTTAAGGCACGGGTCGTGTGTGTTCGGATAAAAGTGTTTTAAACAGAGGAGTCATTGGACCCTTTGTCTAAATGGTGGTGATGATGGATGTGTTCTGAAAACAATAGCCAAAGCTGTCCACAAGTAAACGTAAATCTGTAGGATTCCAGGATGTGGCTCATCAAGCAGAAGTATTCTTCCACAATGATCACATCAATAAAGACCATTCATACGTTTTTTCTAAAATAATGAACTTTTTCAAAAGTAATGAAGTTACTTTCAGAAATGTCTGAAGTTATTCTTAAAGTGTTAACAGCTATAACCTCTTCACTTTATGCTTTAAACGGGAGAATATATCTCAACAAATATTAAATGTTTTGGGAGAATTTCTTCACATAAATATAGTACTTTGGGGAAAAATGTTAAATGTAACAGATTTCCCATCTCCTTTTTAATAAATAATATTCTAAATTTCATCCTAATTTACCAAAATGTCTTCTATTAATATGTTAATACATATTAAAAATAACATTCAGATGTTAAGCATTAAAATAAGCCATTCCATGTTTAAAGTTTCAGCATCTTCCTGTGTTAATTTCACTGTTAATTAGCTTTTTTTACTCCTCTAGAGAGAAAAATTTTGGTATCAAAACATGAAATGAGATGCTTTTTAACCTCTTTGCTCATATGAAAAGAGTATGAAGGAAAATGCTTGTCATGAAAAGCTAGGTAGGGCATTGGTTGTTACCAATTTTATACTTATAAAATGAATTATTAAAGTTTATAATTATCTTATTCTGGATCATAGCATGTTTACATATTACATTACTATTCAATCATAGATCCCTAAGGTGAAGATACTGCCTAGTTGAAATATTATTAAATATAAATATGAAATAATATTAAAGTGAAACTTTTTTAATGGGTTGTAGTCAGAAATATATGTGGATAAGGCAAATCTACATTTTTTAATTGAGATTTTTTAAACTTTCAAATAAATGTTAAACAGGTTTCTACAATTCTAATGTAGTATTTTCTTGGAAACACATTTTAAATAACAACTATATAAGTGCCCATCTGTCTTCTCTAGATTATAAACTGCTTAGTGGTAGGAAATGTATACATGTGTGATTGCATAACAGAGCATGACAGTAATAAATGATCAATAAGTTCTACATGTGAGCTCTGTGTGTTCCCAATACACTTTATTAGTTCTTTGATCCACCTATTGTTATGGATTTATAGAGTGCTTTAAAGATGATGTTTATTGGAGGGGGCATAATAAGAGCCACAAGCCAAATGTCCTGGACATTCCACCAGAGTCAGTGCATGACTTTGGTCCTTATTGTAGGGTTTTATCTGACCTATTCCTTATCTGTAAGTAAGTTCAGAATCAATTTTTGCAATTTTAGTAATATTCTATGGTAAAATTCTCAGAGGAAAGAATTATGCAATTTAATATAGAGTCAGAATTTAATTGCTCTTAAATAGGCTTTCTATATGTAAAATGATAGTAAATACTATATATTATGGGGGAGGAGGTGAATGCTTCAAAGCATGACATAAAACCCAGAAGATATAAGAACAAAACTGATAGATTTCATTACATAATTAAAACATGTCTCTTAGTAAAAGGTAAATATTTTAAAAGCTATGGCACTAAGGGGGAAATACTTATGACACATACAATAAATAATTAAAATCTCTTATTTTTCAAATGTTCCAGCTCATTGAGTAAAAGACAACCAATGTAAAAATGCATACCTTGTAGAAGAATGGACATACAAGTGTCCAATACACATATAATAGTAAACACTGATATATATCATTTTATATTTATTGGATTGATTTAAAAAAAAAACCTGATAACAGCTCCTGGCAAGGCTATTGGAAAATGTACTGTCAAACTCAGTATAAGTTGATACATTTTCAGAAGATAGTTTAGAAGTACTCTGCCTACTAGTCCACCTTCTAAAAATTAGTCCTACAGAACTGCAAATATTAGAAACACAATGGAAATTAATAAATGAGGGAACATGTATATATGATATATAATACTATGCAGCTGTTTAAAAAACAATGAGATATGCTGGCCACAATGGCTCACACCTTTAGTCGCAGCTATTCAGAAGGCTGAGGTGGGAGGATCATTTGAGGCCAGGAGTTCAAGACCAGCCTGGGCAATATAGTGAGACCCTGTCTCTAAAAAAAATAATACAAACAGAAAATTTTTAAAATAGATTGCTCTATTTTTGTGTTAAAAACCTAAATGTAAATGTATGTATGTTATATCCAAACGTGTATGTGTGTGTTTATAAGCATAAAAATATGGAAAATTAAGTGCCCAACTTAAGACAATGAATACTTCTAAGGAGAATGGAAATGTATTTCAAGCAGAGGAAGAAGCCTTCACTTCTTTTTTCATATTGTATACTTCTGTGATTTAGATTTGTAACAATGAGTATATATTAATTATATAATTAAAAACCAATAGAAAAAGCTTTCATTCAAAAATTAAATGGAAGAACACATGGGGATTTGAAAAAAATGTTTTTAAAAAATCTTAATTCTAAAAATCCAACAAAATTGAAATGTAGGGTAATGAAAAGATAGGTTCTTATTCTTAAAGGAGGAATAAGATACACACCACGTGAATGTCATGGGAAGCCGTAAGTTATTCATTTAACAAACTAATAAATTTAAAGGAGCATTAAAAATTACCTACCAGAAGCTGGGTGTGGTAGAGGCACCTATAGTCCCAGCTACTCAGGAGACTGAGGGAGGAGCATCACTTGAGCCCAGGAGTTCAAGGCTGTAGTTTGCTATTATCATGCCTGTGGATAGCCACTGCACTCTAGCCTGGGTGATATAGCAAAACTCTTTCAAAAATTTAGCTCCCAGAATTGGGCATTTTAGTTAGTGAGTACTTAGGGGGTTTTTTTGTTTTGTTTTTTATGATACTATAACTGATGGTGTCTGTTGTTAATTTTGTCAGTATTCTGTTACTCTCTTTATAAAAATGTACTCTTAGTGAGCTTTGAATTAGGGGTATGATAAAAAAAGGAAAACTTACTCCTAGGATCTTTGGATTATTTATCATAGTTACAGGTGACTTTCATTGCCTGCCAATCTACTTAGAAAGTCTGTGTTGGCCAAAAATGTAATAACTGGTTTCTTTTTCTCCCAGAGGAGATAGAAATTTCAACAAAGAGTGCAGTTAGAAATCACACTACCATGTCATTTGAAAGGCTATGTTATTAATTGATAGTATTGGGTATGAATAAGGTGGTGGGGGTGGTAGTAGTATTTCATCAAATAAAGTAATCATCAGACCTCTTCACTTACAAAGTTGGCCTTCCTAGTGTGACTTGGATATTTTGATTGAAATTTGTATGTCCAGAAAGTCAACAAGTGATGAAGTTTAGATTCAATTCCTATGACCTATTGAGATTGATGCAGTGGGTTGATTATTTACTATGGTATTTAAGCCTCACAACCACCCCTGCAAATCAAGTAGTATTATCTGTTTTATGGGTAAATAGATTTTCAGAAAAGGTAGCTTGGGTCCCAGTCTGATTTATTTATTTACCAAACCGTGATCTAAGAGTCTCCTTAGAGTCAGCTAATCTGCTAGGTGTTAGGGATGCCTTTGGGCAGGTTAAGTCTTACATTAACCTTGGGCAGGCTAAGCAATCTGTGCAGAAGTATAATACACAGCAAGTTCTCTATTGATGCAACAGAAACAGAGGGATAGCCAGCCAGAGCAAACTGCAGTATTCGAGAAAGGCTCCCTGCAGGAGATAGTGCTTGAATTGAGCTTTGCAAGATTTAAGAATAATGTTTCCACCTGAAGGAAAAATACCTTTCAAGGCATGTGTCACATGTTATAGGGAGAAGTACAGTATGCAGTAGTATAGGATTAGGGAACAGTAGAATGAGACTGGAAAGGTTGGTTGGCCAGGCCAAACCCTTCGTGCTTTTAGCATGTCATTGTTAAGCTCCTGCCATTTTCCAGGCACAGTTCTAGGGTAGGGGATATAGCAGAGGACAAGAGAGACAAGGTCCTGCAGGCATGGAAATTTCATGTAGGTGGAGACAGACATGAAACAAAAGACAAACACTAAAGTATTAATATATATATCAAATGGTGAACAGCTATTTCAAGAAAAATAAAACAGGGAAGAAGGGAAAGGATACAGCATTTAATAAGGTGATCAGGTGGTCTCACTGAGAGAGTTGCATTTGAAGGTGTAGAAAAAAGAACCTACAAAGATAACTGGTTAATCTTTGTTAAGGCCTTGGGAGAGTATGGTTGGGAGAGTATGCCTAGAACAGCAGGGATCCTATTCACTAGAATACCTGGGGGCAGATGGAGGGTCAGGCTGTAAAGACATGGGAAGAGCTTTGACTTTATTCTGAGTGATCTGGGAATCCACTGGGTTTTGAAGAGTAGAATGATGTGATCTGGTTTATGTTCTAGAAGTACTCTGGCTGCTATGCTGAGAACAGACCGTAGTAGTTCAACCTGGGTACAGATGAAGCAGAGAGTGTTATCATGATGTAGGCAGGTGATGTTGGCCCACGGGGTGCTAGTTAAGGTAGTGACAAGAGAGCTTTGGGTACAGTATGAAGGTAAAGCCTGCATTTGCTGTACTGGATATGGACTAGGGAACAGAGAGGCCTTGTAGTGACTCCTACTTCCATCCGAACAATGGGAAGTATGCAGATGTACCCACCAAGACTCAGTTCTGAACATCAGCAAGTCCTGGAAGCCTTTCAGACATTCTGAGGGAAAGCTCAGGCAGGCAGCTGGTTACAGAAGTTCAGGTCAGGGGTGGTGAGGCTCGAGGTGCATTCTGGGGACTGTGCAGTGTGCATGAAGCTGTGAGACTGAAGGAGGTTACCAAGGAAGTGAGGTAAAGAGGTATCAGCTGTGAGCGCTGAGTTGTGTAATGTTTGTCAGGCCAGGACGATAAGGAAAATCCAGCAAAGACAACTAGAAGAGGTGCCCTGTGAGGGCAGAGAAAAACCAAGAGAGAATAGTTATAGTAGAAAGCCCCGGAGGCCCAGGGAGGGAAGTTCTTGGGAGGATGGAGTGATTAGCTATGTTAAATGCTACCTGTAAGTGAACTACTAGATTTAGCAAGGTGGATGTCATTGGAGACCTTAACAAGGGTAAAGTGATTTGGGGGCGTAGATGGGGTGGAATGAATTCAAGGGCAAATGCTAGTAGAACTGTGGACAACAGGAGTAACTACACCAGGGGTGTTACCAAGGAGCTGCTTAGGAGGCACCAGAGCAATGGGGGTGGTACCTCCCCACACTTCACGCCACTTTACCACACACTTCCAAGACAGAAACCAGAGCAGTGTTTGTGTGCTGACAGATATGAAACAGTGCTTTACAGGTTAAGCTGAGGTATTTAAATTTTGCCCTAAAAGCTGTTGAGAAACACTAAAATTTTAAGCAGGGGAATGACTTGATGGATTTGTAATTTGGAAAGATTATTCCAGTATAGTTTAGCACAGAAATGGATTAGAAGACAGGATCAATTAGAAGGCAGTTAGATTAATTCAGATTAAAGAGTTGAAACCAGGGAAGTTCCCAAGTGCTTCCTAGTTAACAAAAGGGCTGGTGGAGAGAGTGTCTCCTCCAACTATTGAATGAAGTCCTGAGCTTCACTGTGATTGGACTAGTATGACTAGCATGAGCCACTGTGCCCAAAGGGATGAGCTGTCCTGCTCAGTGGGGGCCACCCCGAACACTGTTGGTAGCCTACCGGGCACACTTTGCAACTACCGTTGTGTGCCGGGCTCCTTCAGGTCACCCCTCCAGAGCCTTTGTGGGGCCTTGTCTTCCGTAAGCATGTTAATTCCTCTGACAGCGGCACTTACCCGTGGAGTTGTTTTCCAGTTGTTTCTCTGTGCCTCCAGCACAGGTTGTGATGTTATTAGTGAGTTTTATCAAAATGCAAATGTTCGGTCCTTTGCATCATAAGAAATCCTTCATCTTTTAGTCTCCTGGGAAGGAAATCTTTTACCAATGTACGCTGTTAATGCTTTATTATGATTAGTCAGTACTTTTTAAACAATTTGTACCTAAATGTTTGTTAGGAATATTGAAAATAAAACCATGAAAACCTAGGATAATTTGACTTTCTCTAAAGGGTTATTGCCAAAATACCAAAATAGGACTCATCCTTCTTGTTTGCTTCCTATGGATAATCCTTTCAAAAGGAATAAGAAGAACCTCATATTTCTTTCCTTTTTTTCCCCTCAGAAGGTGAACGGGCTCTACCATCAATACCAAAGTAAGTGCTGCTTTGTATTTATTGTTATTTAGTTTTGTTATCAACTTTAAGAAAGTCACTATGCTCTGTTATTCATTTTCCTGAAAAATTAAATTTATGTATGATCAGGAAATTTAAAAAAAATCTAATCAGTTGTAAATTAGAATAAGTGTTTAGGGTTAATGAAAAAGTTTTAAATTTTCCCTTTAAGTTTAATATTAAGGGGAGCTAAAGAATAATCATAATTGTAATGAAGAGGGCCTGTTGTTAAACAGAACAACAGAACAAAGAAGCAGTGATGTAATCTACTTATTATAAATGTTTACCCTATGGCTGCCCAATAACTATAGCTCAAAGATAGTTATGATAAATTATGTAGCTGCAAGGGAAGAGAGAGTGATGATTTGTTAGAAACACTTTGGTTAAATTTTTTTCTTCATGAATCTTCAGATGCTCTGTGAACTTTGGTTAAATTTTTATAATAAAAATAAAATAGAAGATTTCAAGTATTTGGAGTTGATAAAAGGAACTCAATTCTGTGATTTTAAGTTTCAATATTTCCTAGTATAAATCCTATATACTAGGAAAAATTTCTTTTCAGTACTTCCATAGTAAATGCTTATATATTTAGAAAAGGGTTTGTTTTATAGAAAGACCAAGGTAACTTTGACATCTAAAGACTATGGAGTTACTTTTTTCTCTGCATTTGTGTTCTCCAAAAATTTTAAACTATACTTGCTTTTTTTTTGAGACAAGAGTATCACTCTGTTGCCCTGGCTAGAGTGCCATGGTGTCAGCTTAGCTCACAGCAACCTCAAACTCCTGGGCTCAAGCCATCCTCCTGCCTCAGCCTCCCAAGTAGCTTGGACTACAGGCCTGCACCACCATGCCCTGCTAATTTTTCTATATATTTTTAGTTGGCCAATTAATTTCTTTTATTTTTAGTAGAGACGGGGGTCTCGCTCTTGCTTAGACTGGTCTGGAACTCCTGACCTTGAGCAATCCTCCCGCCTTGGCCTCCCAGAGTGCTAGGATTACAGGCATGAGCCTGGCCATATACTTGCAGTTTTTAAATGTCACCAAAATTTTTGGCCAAAATTTTATGTGAGTAAATATGTAAAACACTAATATTCTTAAGCCATTTTATGAAGCAAGTAACCAGATACATTATGGTTACCTAATAATATATATTGATGTACTTCCTGATTTTTTTTTTTTTTACATGCCAGAAATTTAAGAAGGACCATTCATAATACAGTATTTCAAAATATGTTTTAGAAAGCAAAATTCAGTTCCAGGTGTGTAGGTTTTTTCTTAAATTCTTGGGCAGTCTTGTACATCTAGCTACATTTAAATTTAAAATTTTATTTAACCTGCACACTACATTAAATTGTATTGCATTAAAACATTGCATTGTGTTAAGTCACTGTCATGAATAGCTTGCTCAGCATTCAATATTCTTTCAGTCTATTTTAATTTCTGATCTTTAAAACATTAAAGCAGTCTGGCTATTTTAAGTGTGTCAGGCAGAATCCAGTTTTTTTTAATCGCTCATCTAAAATTTTGCCTTCCTGGGAAATGGCAGTTCCCTGTTTGATGAGGCCAAGTAGTTTGATCCAAGGGAAGATCGCAGAGCTAACAGCTTTCCTTTTGTCTGTTGCAGGTTGGCCAACAGTGAAAAGCAAGGTGTGCGGACACACGCAGTTTCAGTGTCAGGTAAGGGGCTCTAAGTAGCAAACCTCACAAAGCAAGCTCAGTTGGAGTAGGAAAATTATAGATTTATCTTCATTTTTAATATGATAGCTTTGTTCTAGAATAGCTTATAAAAGTAAAGCATTCTGGCTATCCAAATTTGCATAATTTTACCATCATTACATAATTTTAAGTATAGCTCATAGGTTTTATTTTTTAGATGAGTGTGAATTACCAGATTACTCACCAGGTCACATAGAATTCCAAATTATTTTTCGGTTTTAATGTCATGTTAATCATATCAAGAGTGAAAAAGTTTTACTCTTGAAGTTGAAGAGTAAAACTTTTGAAGTTTTACTGAAGTTGCCATATACTTTATCTTTGCAATTCAACAGAATATACTTTGTATATTATTGACTTTTGAAGTTCAGGAAATGTGAATCATTTTTAAATGGTTTTTGTCTTTCACAATTAACATAAATGGTGTTTGACTGTCTCTTTTTAAAAATATAGTTAAGATACTGGCATAATCATTATCTTAACTATTTCCTGGTGTGATGAGTGTGGTGTACTTTCTTGGTATGTTTTCAAAATATACATGCCTTTTTCCCTATTTAAAAATGTGGAAAATAGAGGAAAGGCAGGGAAGAGAAAGCATCTTCCATGGACCTAAGTTTGGTATCTTAAAATACATATATATATGCATACATGGATACATACATATTCATATACACACATATAATCTGTTCTTAGATATATATGTGTACATATGTTATATTCCTAAAATAATGGTCTCCTTATAACTTTAGTATCTGACTTAGAGGAGACCTGGTTCCTGTTTAATTTATTTTGAGTCAGTTTTTCCTGGAATTGAATTGTGTACTTTTGCCTGGTTAATGATTGGAAATATTCCTTTCTCAAGAAATATTTGTGTTTGTATTTATACATTTGGCAAAGATACTCAATAAAGATGGTGTAGGATACTGTCATAGTAGTACAGCTTGAGAAGTCATTTCTCACTTCCTAACAGAGTGGCAAGAAGGTCACAGTACTTGTGACCTTGTGTTACTGACAGCTTTAGTGTTGCCAGCATTTTCCCAAATAAATGGCTAATCATATTTGTGAGCCTCATTCAAGACTTTATGGAGTAGCCCCAGATTTCCAAAAATTATGTTGGAGTTCTAAGCATCACTCAGTGTTTGTGCTTGTTCAGCCCATGCTGGGTACAGAGCTAGTTGAAGAGACAAAGGCCACTACCATCTACCAGTCATGGGAGTCCAGAGGAGAGAACAACCACTGGGTACCAACGGATGGTCTGCAGAATGTTCTGTAGCATAGGTGAGATTTGAGCTGGGCTTTGAATAATTCACAGGCCCTCCCTTGGGTTCATCTTCTTACCAGCCTATAAAGTGGCTTTCTGGATGAGCCCCAGGAATAGGTGATTCCTATGTGGTTCTTGCCATGAGCTCTCTCCAGTCACCCCAGGCTTAAGAGAGAACCGAAATGTCCTGTTATGTTAATAGCACTATTACTGACATCTGTCTTTAGTTAATAAAGTAATGAAACAAAATAGATCCCAACAGAATCTTCATATCTCGTTGCTTCTGTTTCACTAACCTCTTTTAATCAATATCCTCTGTTCAGATTGTAAACATCACAGTTTCTTTTAATAGCTGGTAAAATCACCAAACCTCTGGACTTTACCTCTCCCAGCCAACCCCTTCTTTATGTTTGCACTGTTTGCATCCTATTTCAGAAGTTCATTAAAAAGAAGAAAATTAGTTGACATTTAATGAGCACTTTGGTAGATGCTGTTTCCCAGGCTCCTGGCTTAGGTTCTTTGTTCTTTTATATATGTTAACTCATATAGTCCTTCCAACAAACCTATAAGATAATTTTTCCTTTTGTTGTACAGATTAGGAGACAAAAATCCAGAGAGGTTAACTAATTTGCCCAAGATTACACAGCTGGTAAAAGCTGGAGTCATTGTTCAAATATCTGGTTTCAACCTTCATCTTAATTACTTAAGATTCTGCCTTCATTGTTTCTTTCTAGGTATCCTTTAACCAAAAGTTCATTCTTTAGTCCATTCTCTATGTTAATTCTTTGATTGCTACCATGTTAACTTAAACCATGTTAATTTAAATACACAATTTTCTCTGGTTGAAAATTTCAGCAATAATCTATACATCATATGACATTTAGGCTCCTTGGCTCAGTCCTCCAGAGCCTTCCGTTATCTGCCTGCAGCCCACCTTTCCATTCCTCTCTCCTACTTGTTCACATCATTTTTCAGCCAAATAAAGTTGGAGATTGTGCCGCCTTAGCCTTTTTATCTCTGTAGTTCTGCTCAAGTTGTTCCATCAGCCTTGTTCTTTTCATCGTTATGTATCAAAGTCTTTTCATTCTTCAGAGTTAATAATACTTTGATATGTGAATATCCTTTTGGATTTATAGATCTAGGCATTAAATATCCACTGGACACTGATCTAGGTAGAGGCTCTGCTGCTCTGGGATCCCCCTGAGGTTCTGTATCTGCTTCCCCACACCAGCCTGTTCTGTCTCCACATTAGTGGGGTAAGGATGTAATCTGTGTGCCAGCCACGACTATTTGTTTTTCTGTCTTACTTTACCTCATTTGACCTCTAACAAGCCCTACAAGATTAATATTCCAGTTTTACATTTCTTATTTTACATTAATCTATTCAACAAATATTTTGTGAGTACCTGCTGTGTGTCAAGCACTGTTCTAGATGATGCAGTCTAATAGTGAACAAAGCCAAGTCCCTCCCTTTGTGGAGTTTACATTCTTGTGGAGGAGTCAGACTGTAGACAGTGAATTAAAATAAAGTAGGTAAATTGAGAGCAACTGTTCAGCTATTTAAAATTGTATTATATATGACATTGTATCTGCATATGCATCAACCAGTGTGTAGGCTGGTAAAGCCCTCCATAAATGTTAAATAGTATTTAATCCCAACTATGGTCTTGCAAGGTATATATTATCGCTCCATTTTGCAGATGTGAAGAAATAAATTCAGAAAGATAAACTTGTTCATTGTCACACAGCTTAAAATGATGGAGCTAGGATTGGAACTCAGGCCATTATTACTCTCCAGGCTCTGTTGCCTTTCACTAGCAGTTCAAGGGAGGCTTACGTATGGATAAAGCAGCACTTAGGAAAATAGAAAGTCTCAAAGGATTTGTCTGGCTCTCCCATTGTCATTCACAACCAAAGCATTCTTACCTGCTCGCCAGGACTGGGTTCTCATGTCACCACATCATAGATGCCACCACTAACTACTCTAAGAAGAGTTGGACTCTTCTTTCTCTGAATTCTGTAGAGCACTGTACATTTCTCTATTATAGATAGTCCTCAAATGGGTGTAATTATTTAGAAACCATCTTGTCCACTAGACCACAAACCCCATTACATGTTGTATTTATCTGTTTATTTTCTGGGGCATAAGCTCTTAGTAATTGTTTTTAAATTGATGGATGCCTGATCAAGGTATGGAGGTGTGCTGGGACTCAGAAGAGTGCCTTCTAGGTACAGGGGACAGAAAGCAGAAAGGCAGAAGCATTCAGAGCTATCAGTGACATAGAGAGTTACTGGAGCTCTCAAATGATTCCCTGTGAGCTTGTCACTGTGAATTGTTCTAGACTCTTTTCTAGGAGGTGTTAGGGAAGGGAATAGAGGATAGCCAACAGGAAGAGTGAGGTTTAGGACAGTTTACAGCTTTTCATGGATCTCTAGTTGACAAATAAAGCAATATCCTTACATTCCAGAGAGGAGGTACCAGGCACTGGTTCATATTTCACTGCAAAGTAACTGTAGTTATTAGATCATCTTCAATAAGATCACAATGAAATTTGATGTTGGATGTATGGAGAGTTTATCTTTGAAATTTGAACGAAGTTTAAGTAAGTGTAAGAGTAACAGAGGTTTATAAAAATATCTAATAGAAAAACATGTTTCCTTGGGTGTATTACTCTGAGGGCCTAAAGAAGTCTTTTTTAAAGCCTAATTATTAAGTTTTTAGGAAACTTGTGCTTATTGTAGAGCTCAGGTTAGAACTTAGAGCATTTCTGAGAGACCAGTGTTGCAGTCTATCATAAGAGATCTGTAAGTCACATCACAGAGGGGTGAGGCCTCACATAGGTGAAGCCAGTGGGGGCATGGAGAGCTCCTTGACTATGTGAGTTAAAATTACTTAGGAGTATAGATATTTCCAAATCATTAAGTAAAGCTGAATTTCAAATGCTTTGAAGACATAAACTCTGATTTTGGTGGTGGGGAGGGTTGTTGTTGTTGTTGGTAGGTTGCCTTTTGGGTTTGGGGTTGGGGTTTTTTTGTTTTTAAATAACCAGGCCATTGATCAAGCAGTAAACCAGAAATACAAGATAAAACATGATGGTAATGGCATTACATTATGCACATGGCTCTTGTTAAATGTTTGGATTATACATAATGGGACTGGAGATTATAATACAGTTTTTGTCATTTGTACCTCTGTCATGAAAACCAATGCAATGACCTTTTTCATCTATCAGTAGATATGTTTGATTTGTCTCTACTGAGCCCTTTGTGACAAAAGACAATTATACCACTTTGTGATACTCTTTCAGAATATATTACAAATTTTTTTGAATTTTAAATTTATAACAGATTATTTTGGTTTAGTTGTCTATCTTGCAGCATAATTTCCTTTATATAAGATTACTTCTAGGTTTTTCAAGTTAGTGACTAAAAATTATTCTAAATTCATAATAATGAAAACATTTATCAAAATAAGTGTTATTTGTATTAAATGGCTTCATTACAAATTCTAAACACTCATTTGTATATGCAAAGATAGTTTGTAAACTGTAAACTATGCCTATAATAATTACTGAATCTCTTTTCCTGTGCTTTCTGACATGCTAGGTCTGTTATTCATTCATTGCTGTGCCACTGCTTTGTGAGTACAAGTAGTTATTTACATATGAATGAGAGTCCGAGATTATGCCTGGCAAATCCATGT